GTTGTTGTTGTTGTTGTTAGCCCAGCAGCCGCCCACGATGCAGACGAAGCACCCCGGTGAGGCACGCATTTCCAGCATTATTTGGGCCTATTTTCGCCTTATGTTAGCCCATGTTAGCCCCTCTGGAGCCACAAGAGCGGAAAAGTGGAAGAAGCAGAAAACACTGTAAAACACACGATTCCTGTGGGGTCGAGCAGGGGTCGGCGGCGAGGGGCGGTCAGCCCTCTAGACTGCCTACGGCAATGACACGGCCAGGCGGGGTCCCTGGCCGGATTTATGAGGCTTACGCCTGACAGCCGGGCGCCGGCCTATTTGGGTTTGGGTATGTGCAGGGCTCTGTCTCTCTCCCTCTCTCTCTCTCTCTCTCTCCCTTTGAGACTTGGTGGGGCCTATATTTAGCAAAGTTAAGCTGTCTGGTGCGCATCTTGGCTCTAGGTTGGGCCAAGTTGAGCCCATGTGGTCTATGTTGGGCACATCTTGGGCCCAAGTTGAGCCTATGTTGGACCTAGGTCGACCTATGTTAGGCCTGTGTTGGCCGAGGTTGGGCCTATGTTGGCGTATGTTGGCCCCACGTTGGCCTATGTTGGCCCTATGTTAAGCCATCTTGGAGGCTATGTTGGGCATATGTTGGCTATCTTGGGCCTATGTTGGGAATATGTTAAGTAATTTATGCGCCCAACACCAACGAAATGTCGATTAAGCCTGTCCGCGCAGCACGCGTAACCGACACCACGGGCGCCCTGTTAGACGAAAGTCGTATCCGCCGAAGGCCACGAAACACTGTAAAAAAACGATGTTTTTGAACATTTTTTGAACATCCGGCGCAAGATACATACAAATCTGTCGACCGGATTCGGGCGGGGGTCGACCGGGGGTCGACACGGGGTATACCGGGGGTCCAACAAAAGGGTCGGCGGCAGGGGCGGCGAGCGTATATAACCTTCGGTTACCAACCGAAGGCCTCCGGCAAGGACACGGGCCCGTGGCCGGCACCCGGATTTAAAGGCTTACCCCTAACAGCCGGGCGCCGGCCCACTTGGGTGTGGGGCGTATGCCTATGTTGGCATTGGTGGGGCCTATATTGAGCAAAGTTAAGCTATTTGGTGCGCATCTTGGCCCTAGGTTGGGCCAAGTGGGGCCCATGTGGTCTGTGTTGGGCACATCTTGGGCCAATGTTGAGCCTATGTTGGCCTACGTGAGGCCTATGTTGGCCGAGGTTGGGCCTATGTTGGCGTCTGTTGGCCCCAAGTTGGCCTATGTTGGCCCTATGTTGAGCCATCTTGGAGGCTATGTTGGGCATATGTTGAGGACATGTTGGCTATCTGGGGCCTATGTTGGGGATATGTTAGGCACTTCTGTTGCAAAAATTTTCCGACGCAACTTTGTTACGATTTTTTCCTTCCCGCGAAGCAAAAAGCCTGAAAAAAAAACAACGTTTTTTCACACCGCCCAGATAAAACTCTCAGCCGCCGAGGGGCCCAAAACCCTGTAAAACACAGTGTTTTGTGTACCTCACACGCACGATACACTGTAAATTACAGGGGCTTCAGTTGACAGGAAGTGACGAGGGGGTCCGCCAGTTTTTCGTGGCGAGGGTCGGCGGCAGCCGGCGCGCCCGTCTATAACCTTCGGTTACCACCGAAGGCCCTCCGGGCAGGGCACGGGCTTCGTGGCCGGCGCCCGGATTTAAAGGCTTACGCCTAACAGCCGGGCGCCGGCCCACTTGGGTCTGCTGGGCGTATGTCACGCCTATGTTGGCCTTGGTGGGGCCTATATTGAGCAAAGTGAAGTTGGGCCAAGTTGGGCCCATGTGGTCTATGTTGGGCACATCTTGGGCCCATGTTGAGCCTATGTTGGGCCTATGTTCGCCTATGTTAGGCCTATGTTGGCCTAGGTTGGGCCTACGTTGGGCCTATGTTGGGCCTATGTTGGCGTATGTTGGCCCCATCTTAGCCTATGTTGGCCCTATGTTGAGCCATCTTGGAGGCTATGTTGGGCA